CAGTCTCAGAGCTACTGGCGGCTGTTTCCCGACCTATGCAGAGAGCTCCTTTTAGTAGCTGAGTGTTCAGCCAATGCGCAGAGGAAAGAGGGTAGAGAGACAGCCGGAGGGAGCAAAGGGGGAGAAAGAAAGATAGGGAGGGAAGAGAGCTAAGCGAAGAGAGACACACATATGTGAGAGACAGAGACAAAGAGACAGGTACCAAGCTGCAGATCACCTCTGCTGGGTGGGATGGAGAGAAATCTCTTTAAAACCTTTTTTTCATCATGAAGTGATATTTACATTTTTAATAACGTACATATTTTATAACTATAAAATTAAAATCATACATTAAATATCCATTTATCACTGATCTATACAGTAATTAAAATGCATCCTTTTTATTTTTAAAGGTTTTTATTACAAAAACAATAAATGTTTATTCCATTAAAACAAGGAATTCAATCTGAAACCAAGCAGCAAGTGAAGAACACATTCTTCCGCCCTGAATGCAGCGCTCTTTGCACTTGCTGTTCATCCTTCCAGACCTTTCCCTTTGGGCACAGGCCTGTGTGTCAGGGTGCCTGGGGAAGGTTGTAGGGCCTGGACGCTTTTGTGACCTGATTTCCCTGCAGGTGAACCTTGGCCGGGCTGGCCAGTCAACACTCCTCTTCTTCAGCATTTTCAGTTGCTGCACACCATAATTTAATAAGCATTGTAACTTACTAATTCGTCCCTTTGGATCATTTCTGGTTTCCTACTCCTGTCATTGTGCTGGAGACTCTGCATCCATGCATCTCTAGGGCAACAGACTCCTAGACGTGCAATGTCTGGGTCAAAGTGTATACACATTGTTGAAGTGCTGGCCACTTTTCTGTATCAGAGGCCTCTGTCAAGGGTGAGCCTCACTTGGGAAAGTGGGACCTTGCAGAGATGCTGGGGTTGAGACCCTAGGAAGAACAGGGAGGCGAACTGGCAGTAGAGCAGATCACAGTCCCTTGCAAGGAACCCCTGAGCCAGGAGGACTCCCTGCACCAGGCCCTAGGAGGCCTCTGCCTGCTCTGTAACTTGACTTCTGAGCCAGGCCACTGGGCCCTGCCATTCATGGCAGAAGAGCGTACAGGTTGCCTGCTGGCTCTCTGCACACAGAGCCCCCCCACCCCCTCACCCCCTGATTTAGAAAGAACATCAGAGCATCAAAGATTGGATTATTGAGCTAGATAGTCAAGGGACAACCTTGAACATGTTCGTTCCAGGGGAGATTCTTAGTTCAGAACCCATATGAGCTAGTCTAAGCCAGAGAAGGATATGAAGCATATCCCAGGACTCATGGAAACTGCTGGAAGCTCAGAGCATCAGGCTCAGATTTGGAGCTAGGAACAGCACCCACACCACTCCTCAGATTCCTTCAGCCATGACCTCCTGCCCCTGCCACCACCCTGAGCTGCATGGCCGCTGCATTCATATTCTCCATGGAGAGGGCTCTGCCTGCCATAACTCCAAGTGGGGAGGAGGGGCACCGTCCTCCCTCCTCTAAATGTAATGCTAGGGGAATTCCCTTGATCTCAGGCTGTCAGTGAGGCTGCAGTCAGTAGCCTTTCTCTTGCTTCTAGGAATGGAGCCCCCCAAACAGAAAATATCAATACTCATACGAAGGAAACTCGCTGGGCTCTCCCTGAAGGATGAGAGTGAGCAACCCCTGATTGAACGTGGAAGCAGGTAAGAGCCAAAAGCAGCAAGGACTACTGTAAACGGCTGTATCTGCTGGGGGTTGTACAGTGTAATGGTTAGGGGCTTGGGCTCTGAAGTGAGACAGACCTGGGAAAGGCATTGTATTTGTTCTGAGCCTTAGTTTCCTCAGCTATGAAATGGGCATGGCAGTCTACCTTGATATTATCCAGAGAAAGTTAAATGAGGTAGTACACAGAGTGCCGCAGCACATACAAACAGCTCAACAGCTATGAGTTCACATGAGAAGGACCCGCCAAAGGGTACCATGATGGAAGGAAGGCCTGGCTCAGGGGGAGACGCATTCTTGGGTCATTGCTGCTATCGTGAGCCACTCCAGCTGTCTGTCGTATGCAAAGAGAGTTGGCAGTGTACCTGTTCCCTCTGCCCCAGGAGTGTGACTCTGCAAGAAGAAGCAGAGCAACAATTTGCCCAGCTGTGTTCTCGGAAGTGGTCTTTAGAGCACAGTAGGAAAAGCAGACAAGGCACTGGTGACCACCGCCTGGCTGGCAGATCAATGAGTAAACTGAGGCCCAGACAGGGGAAGCAACTTGAGCTGTGGCACTTCCCTGTCCCCACCAGAACCCAAGACTGTGCACAGCGATTAGACTAGTGTGGGCTAATATGAAACAGAGCTTGAAGAAGTGCAGCATTAATGCTCTGTATGTTTTTTCTTTTCATTAAGATATTTAAAGCATGACAGTTTTTTCAAAGAAATGCTAAGCTTTTCCAACAGGGTTGGTAGGCAGATTGTGAATGGTGAAGACAAGCCTGTGAGATTTTCATACACATTTGTTTGTAGGAAGTGGCCGGGAATCAAACCCACCGAAGTCACCATCCAAAACAAGATTCTTCTCCGGCCAACATCATCGATATCCACCACCAAAACCACCCTGGGCCACCTGGCAGCCGTGGAAGCCCGAGATGCTGTGTATCTGGTGAGACGGGGTGGAGTGAGCGTGTCCCAGGGAGCACAGCTCAGGCCGGCTGCCTTGAGAAGGGGGAGTTTCCCATCACCCAGCACCCCAACATTTGGCTGGTTTAGCAAGCAACACGTCAGTGCACCCCAGAGCTGCAGGTCTCAACACTTAGTACAGCCGCTGTGCACAGGCATGGGGATGCAGCTGTGGGCCATCTCCCGTCCCGGTGCTAGTGTGGGTCTGAGGTGTGATCCCAATGCTGCGGGAGCCCAGCTGAGAGACACCCCACCCAGACTGGGGGTGAAGAAAGGCTTTCCAAAGGCACGGTAGGGTCAGAGCTAGGGAACGTTATCACCAGGCACAGAAGTGATGGTAGCAGTGGACTCAGGTAGGGACACAGCAGCAGGAGCAGTCACAGCTCCTGGGAACTTACTGGGAAGTACTTACTGGGAGCTTCTGCTCTTGACATGAGGCTTCTCACTGAATCCTCCTAACAACTCCACAAAGGAAGTAATATTATTTTCCTCCCTTCACTCATGAGGACACTGAGTCTTAAAGAAACTTGTCCCCTCTATGCCACTACAGAGTAGCAGAGCCAGAATTTGATCCCAGTGCCTGTCAGACCCACTGGGGACAGCCTGATGAGGAGGCTACACCCAGATGCCACCTGAGGGATCTCTTGGTTCTGGAGACCTGTGGACCTTTGGTCCTGATGCCCAGAGAGAAACCTTGTCCTGCCCAGAGACCAGCTGGCCCCCCTATTGGGAGAGCCTGAAATACCCAGGGTCAGCCTTCCCTAGCTTCCCCTCCAAGCCCAATGTAGAGGGAGCAGCTCTGCCTGCTGAGTTCAGTGAGGGTGGGAGGCCTGGAAGACCCAGCCTACCAAAAAACCAGGACCCCTGAGCTCCTGGGAGGCCACAGTGTGGGACAGAGCTTAGTAAGGAGTGCTGAGCCTAGAGTCAGATAGACACAGGTCCTAGTCCCTGCTCAGCCTCCTTCTAGCTGGATGACCCCAGGCCAGGCTCTGAGCCTCAGTTTCCCTGCCTTGTAAAATGGGGGAAACAACTAGGCCTACCTGGTTTCTACGTGAGAAATGACTTGTGGAACTCTTGCCAGTGCCTGGAATGGGTTAACAGCCACCTGCCAGCAAGTTACAGTATTGCCCTAGGGGAGAGGGTCCAGAAGCCTCTCCTCATGTGGATCCCTACTGCTACCTTCCTTCCAGAAATATTTAGCATCATTTGAGGAGGAGCTGAATAGGATCCACAATGACTGCATATCTCAGATGAAAGAGGCTCAGCGCTGGAAGGACAGCTGGAAGCAGTCCATGCACACCATCGAGGCCCTGTATGTGTGACTCCTCCACCCCACCACGAATAAATGCTTTCTTCTGCAGACTCCCTCGCTGTCCATCTACCTGCCTACCTACTTTTGGTCCATCCCTCCCTCCCTTCATCCATCTCCCCTGCTCTGTGCTGGGCATTGTAGCTTTACCAGTGAACAGGACACGGAACAGTCCCTGCCCACGTGGAGCCCACTTCCCATGAGAAAGGTAAGCATGAAGGGGGAGGTCCACGTGGTTAGCAGAGAGGGTAAGTAGCAGGAATTATCGGTCACTTAAAATAGGCACCAGAACTTCAAAGGACATCACCTCCAAACAGCAGGCTTGGCACTTCATCTTGAAAAATGAAATAATTAAAAGTCATGGGAAAAGGATATTTTAATTTAATAAGTATGGGTTATAATTGCAACTCTGCACTGGTTCCTAAACCCAAAAAAGAATCATCCAATGTTGATTGGTATTTGTGCCACAGTTTGAGCAAATTGCAGTATTTTGACAAAAAAAATCTTCCTGGCCCCTTTAATCCTGTGACACTCAGATCATTCTCTTGGAGTCCTCCAGCCTGCTGGCATCTTGCTTGTCAACTTTCTCTTCTTCAATTAAGTGGCCTGAGCGTACAGGTTTCATTTGTCAGTAGCTGTGTATGTCATCTAGACAGGCTTCCTCAGCCACAGACTTAGGAGGCCCCAGCCCATAAATCTCCAGCCCCTCACAGCTGTATGACCCTCTGAGCTTAGTTCCCTCACCTGGGGACACTCACCCTACCCTCCTGGTCTGCTCCACCCAGTGAGGCCCTGCTTGGTTAGCTTGGTGGCCTTGGTGCACTGAAACCAGGAGAGTGAGGAGCCCCCTTCCATCAAAGCAAAAGCAATTTCCTGTTCTTTTCTGCACTCCCACCGCTCCCCCCATGTGCTACCTTTCATTGCTTATTATTCCAAAAGGAATGATATGTACATTGTAGAAAGAAGAATTTATGAAACTAACAAAAGGATAACTTTAAACTCCTGAGCTGGGCGCAGTGGCTTATGCCTGTAATCCCAGCACTTTGGGAGGCCAAGGTGAGCAGATCATCTGAGCTCAGGGGTTCAAGACCAGCCGGAGCAACATGGTGAAACCCCATCTCTTCTAAAAATACAAAAATGAGCCAGGCATGGTGGCACACACCTGCCATCCCAGCTATTGGGGAGGCTGAGGCATGAAAATCACTTGAACCCAGGAGATGGAGGTTGCAGTGAACCAAGATCATGCAACTTCTCTCCGGCCTAGGCAACAGAATGAGACTCTATCTCAAACAAACAAATAAATCAATAATAAAATCCTGGAATCTAGAGACAGCCACTGTCCCTAGCATCTTTCCACATATGTGAGTTATTTTTACAAAATGGAATCATAACGTGCATTAGGCTGCATAAACTGCTTGGTAAATTTTAACTGGATAAACCCTATGCCATATCCTTAAGTATTCATTTACACCATCGGTTTTCACACTTTTCTGACTCTGACCCACTGTATAGAATAAACATGTTCTAAATGCAGGGTCCCTGCACACATATACACAACTTGGGACCAACAGGTCACAGCACTTCACCTTACTAGGAACGCTGCTTTCTAGTATTTTCTCCCTGCTTTTTAAATCCTAGCCCAGTCCATTTAACTCAGTTCATGAAGGGGTCTTGACTGCAGTGTGGGACACTGTCATTTAAACAGCTGCAGAGGGGCCTTAGCAGCCTGAGGGCACCTCGGCCCAGAAGCTAAGCAGAGTTGGACTTGACCAAACAGCTGCAGAGTGCTCCCACTGCCCGGGGAACCAGCTCACCTCTGTCGGACAAGGGCAACTCATGTCCCAGTCATGCGAGTGATCAGTTAGCATCAGCCTGTTTCACAGAGGAGGAAAGCAAGTCCCTGAGTGGTGAGGTGACCTGCCTCAGTCACAGGGCTATTCAGTGATGGAGCTGGGATCCCAGTGCCAGCTGTCCGACACTCCGAGCCCACAATTAGCCCAAAGCCACACTGAGTCCTGGGACAGTCTGCCCAGTGCATCAGATCACTCACTGGTACCTGAGCTTGACTGTGGCCTTTTCTCCTTGGCTCTGAGGCCATTGCTGGTTGACCCAGGCGGTGGTTCTGACTGGCAGGACTGGTTGTAGCCACAGGGCAGAGTGGCAGCTCTGGGAGTACCTGGAGCCACACCTCAATTCTCCCTCTCAGTGCCTGCCCAGCACCTGCAGTCTGGACGGCCCAGCTGTCACCACATACTAGGGGAGGATTCTGACCAGGAGTCACAGCTGCAGGCTTCCTGCTGCTGGCCACCAGGCAGAGTCCACCCCTGCTCTCACCCAAGTCCTGCCCCAGCCTGATCTCTCATCCTCACTGAGCTGCTCCTTGGCCTGGAACCAGGTTCCAAAGTCCTCAGCTGGAAATTATCGCAGCCACCTGGGGCAGCTGCAGCTCCCTAATTACTGTGCATTCCTGGTGGCAGAGGGAAGAACAGCAGGGTGACAGGGCCCGGTGGGGCATGCTGGTGGAGCCCTGGTGTGGGTAGGGTGTGGGGCCAAGGCCCAGTCTATAGCTCTTTCTTTAAAAGGGCTCCCACCTCCCCTCCAATCCCATCCAGTCCCTACCTGTTCTCAGAGATGGGTTCAAACAGTCCCGCCTCCAGGAAGTTGTCCTTGATTCCAGCGCCTCCCCTCACCCTCCAGTCGGATGGTTCCTCCTCTGCTCTGTATCGCCCTTCCTATGAGTCTAAGATGCAGAGGATGGGTCCAGGAAGTGTCTGGTAAGTGGAGAGTCTCCGACTTCCACACCCCCAGCCTCCCGCAGTGAATGCCACAGCTGCTTACCTAACTCTTTTCCTGGAAGTTGATCAGATTCTCCTGGAAGGCAGATAACCAAAACCCCTCAAAAAGGTCCCTGGCCCCTGACCGCGTCCGGACCACAGGCCTCTCACGTTGTAGTACCACCGGGTTCCACCAGGGGGCAGGGCGTGCACACAAAACGGGACTTGGACTTGGGTCAGACTAAGCTCCAGAAGAAGCGGTCACCGGAGCGGAGGCTCACGGACCTTCTGGCCCAGCCTTCTCAGATGACAGACAGGGAAACTGAGGCCTTGAGCTGGAAGGGATTGTTCACCTACTCCCGTGCTCCCTGACGTCACTCTCTTGCCACCGTGGACAGCGCCTGCGGAGCGTCTGACTCCTGAGCAGCCACAATCTCCAGCAGCTGGGCAGCGAGGCAGCTGGGCCGCTTCACCTCCTGGGGAACGGGGGCAGGTGGCTCCGTGGAGCCTCCGTTCCTTCATCAGTATAGTGGGCGCGACGCCCGGCTCACGGGGCAGTATGAGGACCGCTCGAGAGGAGGTGTGCCGAGAGCTCGGGGCTCGGTCAGGATCTCTCTCCTCCCAAGCTCAGGACCCTGGGCCCGCCCTGCCCCTCCCCAGGCTCGCTTACATCCGGATAATTCATCGAGTGCCAAGCATCATCAGGTCAGGTGGAACGGGTCAGGGAGGGGACGGGCCCTGTGCCCATGGGGTGGGGGTGTTGATGAGCACTGGCTCTCGGGTATCCCCCTTAGGTTGATCAGATCAAACTATCTCAGCCACCTGGGGCAGCCGCAGTTCCCTAATTACCTAAGCAAAGTTCTCACACTCAGCTCCCCGACCCACCCAGGCCTCCTACTTGGAGCCGCCAAGATTTGCCTTCCCCACAGCCCCTCCCTACACCACCCCTCTGCTTAGCAAACTTGCCACAGTCAGCTTTGGTAATCACAAAGGAGGGGCCAGCCCTGCTCCTCCCCCACTCCCTGCACCAGCCCAGTGCTCCCTGGCCCTTGCTCTGGCCACTTCTGTTGGAGGCGTTTCAGTCACTGCTGGAGGAGTAATGCCCCCTCTCTCTTGATGAGGCCTACAACCAGGAGGGAGGGAGGAGCCCTGTCCTCTGATTCCCTGGAGTCTCTCCCACCCCACCTGCATGTGGCTGCTGCCTCTCTGGGCTCTCTGGGGCTCCATCTCCAGGGTGGCCACCGTGAAGGTCCCCTCCTGCCAGGGTCAAGGGCAAGGTCAGTGAGGACATCCTCCTCACCCCTTTATTCTCCCAGCCCCCTGACCCTGGGGCCCTGGACATGCTCTAGTGTCTGCATCACGTGGCGATGATGCAGTTTTCCCCACATTTGAACTGGGTGATGGAGGTGCAGACAGTGGGTGACAGGGCTCCTTGGCCTTCTAGTTCTGTTGTACCAGAGGGAGCCCTGGCAGTGATGGGGCAGCCCTTTCTTGAACAGCTTCTGGAGACAGGGGTACCATCACCAGGCATGACCCACCTCAATTCAGAGTCCCAGTCCCCCACAGCCCAGGCAGGGGCCACTGGTCTGAGCTGAAGCTCAGGATGCTGAGGATGTGGCTTGAGCCTTGTGGGAGTCCCTGAGCTTTGGTGTCTGTTCACTGAGGGCACCAGCACGTGATGACCCAGGAACCAGTACTGGCAGGTGAGGGAGACTGGATTTTCACTTGGCCCTTCCTCACTAACTCCAAGCACCAGAAGGTGGCTCATGCCTGTCCCTCCCCAGATGACATCTGCCTCCTTCTTGATCAGCCTTCTAGTCTGTCTCCCTGTTCAGGTGCACATCTTTTTCCCCTTGCACCCACAGGGGCGGCTTTGTTTGGGTGTCTGTCTTAGAATCCACATTAGGTGCCTAATAAGTGCTGAGGTGGGTGAGGTTTCCTGAGCACATGGGTGGGCAACCCATGCGCCTGGCTGCTCCTCAGTGAGCGCCCTCCACCCACAAAGGGGCCTGGCCCTGCCTTGCCTTCCCTCTGTCCTCCCATTCTGCACAGCCACTGTGTGAGGCAGGTGCTGTTATGTCCCATCTCTGCCCTCCACATGTACACAGTGAAGGCCTAGAGGTTAAGAATCTCGTCTAGGCCACACGGTTGGTAATAGGTGGAGCTGGGATTGGCCCATATCATCTGACTGAGGTTCAAGGAAAGGTCCCAGAGAGAAGGCCGCCCCCACCCTGCCCCAAGAGAGCCCAGCACTCATCGCATCCATCAGAGTCAATTGCTCTGCCACCAGCATGGAGGGAACCCACCAAGAGGTTGGGCACTTCCTCACCAGGCCAGTTCTGTGTGGTCCCAGGCTAGGGGCAGGAGGGCTCTGGGACTGACTAACTTGGGCTGTCACTGCGGCAGGCTCCTTCCATGGAGCGCCCTCAAGGTACTCTTCTGGCCAAATGCCCAAGATGGAAGAGAAGGTGTTTGGGGGTAGCGGGGGGTGGGGGCAGCAGAGTCAGAGCCTGGCCTTTCCATCCACATTGCTCTCCTGGGGCACCCTTGTTTGGATGCGGGCCCCTGTGCCTGTCCTGCCTGGCCAGAGATGGCTCCACCCACTGTGGCTGTCCTGGCAGAGACAGACCTGGTCTTCAGGCAGGGCAGGCACAGAATCTGCATGGGCCGGTGACTCTTGCTCTGACAGACTACCCGATTGGGATGCTCAGGAATGAGGTCTGAGGTAGAAGTGTATGTGGGTTGCTCACTATAGCTCCTCTTCTGCGTCCCCTGGAGGTTGGGTCTGGAAGGGTGGATGTGGAAGGAGGTGGGCAGGGCTGGGATGGGATTGTGGTGGGGATGGCTCTGAGCCCCAGCCTCCCCTCTGCTTCCCAGGGGACTTGGATCCCATCCGTAACTCTCACTGACTGATTTCCTCCTGCAGAGGAAGCCCCCAGACCTCAGCCCTCTCAAGAGAACCCTAAGACATATGAGACTCAGGATTCTGCCAGCATTTCCAGCCACAGGCTCCCATATGCCTCCAACTGTTCTGGGGAAGCAGGAGCCCCTCCTTCTGGAGCTGAAGTCCACTGACAATTTTAGTTGATCCTGAGGTCCACCATCCCTGTGAGAACATGGCAGAATGCATGTGTATCCAGAGGAGGTGAGAAGGACATCACGGTGTCAACATACCGTGGACATGGCCTGCTGAAAAGTATCTGGACACAGTAGGTGCTTGATGTATATTTGTTGAAAGCATGAACCACAACCAGAATCTTCCCAGATATCTAAATTAGCATAGGCCCCTCCACCAGCCCCCAGGGATCTCTGTTTTGGATATCCCAAGTACAGAGACCAGCTATGTGGAAGCTCAAACGCTCTTCACAAATAGGAAAACAGATTTGCTTTCCATATGCTTTCCCAAACATAGGAACACCACGAGTGAGGCAGACAGCTACTTCATGTTCAAAAAATAAATAACCACAGTTCATCTGGCAGCCCCTCCCGCAGAGCCAGGCACCAGGTCCACACCTGCCATGGCTCATCCATTTAGTCCCTACAAGAACCCTGTGAGGTTCATCCTCTTACCACCTTTCTTCTCAGAGGAGCAAACAGGCTTAGAGAGGTGCAACAATATCTCCAAGACACACAGCTAGCTGGTGGCAGAGTCCCTACCGTGCCATGGAAGGGACGGGCTCCCACCTATTGAACACCTGGTCCAGGAACTGTGGGATGGAGGCAAACACTCAGTGGGTACACAGGAAGATGGTGCCGGGGGAGGTGTCTGCCCTGGAAGCCTGGTCCAGGGATGCCACCATATGCTCCTGAATGCCTACTTAGAGGGTTCGCATTGTGCAGATCTCGCCCAGGTACAGGGTTAACTCACTTTCATACTGAGTGGGACAAGGAGGGACACAGAGTCAGAGGCAGCAGCAAAAACCAGGAGAATCGTGGGCTAGAGCTCGGACCAGGAAGCCCCAACTCCTCAGGGATTTGTACATGAAGAGGGATATGAATGCCCACAGCAAGAGAGGTTAGCACTCCCCTATTAAGAGCCTGTTTGCTCTAGTGAGTCCTCAAAAAGCATCCCCATTGTTGAGATCAGAAAACACAGGCTTAGGGATGTCAAATGGCTGTTCAAGGTCACACAGGGCAGAACTAAGAGCTGCCCAAAGCTAGGGCTGCATCACCTTCCCCCTAAGCTACCTGAAGCTTGGTCTGCTTCTGACATGGAGGGAGAGGATCTGGGGGAGCCTCATTCCCCACCTCACCACCCCCACCAAGTTGAGAGACAGTTTACAGTGTGGACCCGCTGCTATGGTGTGCATGTTTGTCTTCTCTAAAACTCATGTTGAAAAGTAGTTGCCATTGTGCCCATATTGGGAGATGGGACCTTTAAGGGGTGTGAAGGTCATGAGGGCTCTGCCATCGTGGGTGGATTAATGTCAGTATCGTGGAGGTAGGTCTGCCCCCTCTTGCTCTGTCTCACCCTCTCTTTGCCTTCTGCCATAGGATGATGCAGGAAGAGGCCCTCACCAGATGCCAGCACCTTGACTGCGGACTTCCCAGCCTCCAGAACTGTGAGAAATACATTTCTGTTCATGATAAATTACCCAGTCAATGGTGTTTTGTTGCAGCAGCACAAAATGGACTACAACACCCACCCTAGGAGAGTCTTTCAGACTTCAAAGCAAGGTACTTAATTTTATTTCTTTTACAATAAAGGTAGTTTTGAAAAACTGAGTTAGGAGGATCCCAGATCCAACAGAGGGGCAAAGGCCTGGAGGTTCTGGGGTGGGAGAAGGGCTGTCACAGCACGAAGGATATAAGCAGACCACTCGGGAAAGAGAAAACCAAATGGTTGTTAAACAACTGACAGGTGGCTCAAGCCTGTAAGTGGGAAATTAAAAAGCAGAGGAAGCATACAATGGCATTTGCCACATGGACACTGGAATTAGCAGAAATGTAAAGGAATGACATCCCCCAGTGTCAGGGTGGATGCAGGGAAGCAGCCACCATTGGAGACTTCCGTGGCAACACAACTGCCACAGCCTCTTTGGAAAGTAATTTGCCTGAAGCTATTAAGATTTTGCATGTGCATATCCTCCTACCAAGCAATCCCATGCTTGGAGTCTATCTTCTGTAGGGAATAAGTATGTGATACAAGCCAGATTACGTCTCCCAAAGTTCATATGTTAAAGTGCTAACCCCCAGGACCTCAGAATGTGAGTGTATTTGGAGACAGTCTTCATTAAGGAGGTCATTAAGGTTGAGTTCATTGAGGTGGACTCTAATCCAGTCTGACTGATGTCCTCACAAGAAAAGGGATTAGGACACAAAGAGGCACAGAGTAGGGAGGCGGAGGTTGCAGTGAGCCGCGACCGAGCCACTGCACTCCAGCCTGGGTGACAGAGCAAGACTCTGTCTCAAGGAAAAAAAAAACAATGAGGCACAGAGTAGACAATGTCTACACAGAGACAGACGGCGGCCATCTACAAGCCACAGAGAGGGGCCTCAGAAGAAGCCATCACAGCTTGCACCTTGGTCTCCGAATTCTAGCCTCCAGAATTGTGAGAAAACCAATTTCTGTTGTTTAAGCCACACAATCGGGGAACTGTTATGGCAGCCCTAGCAAACCAATGCTCTGCAATAGGACACACGTAAGGTGTTCCCTGAAACCCTGCTGAAATGGCAGCAGAATGCAGTCACATCCAGGTTCACCAGCAGTGGAAGGCTGAATTGCTGTGGCAAAAAAGCCCCCCTTATGGAATATGATGAAGGCAAGTGAGGCCAAGGCTCTGGGCCTGGTGGGCTAAGAGGCTAAGATGTTGTGTTCTAGGCTGTGGCAAACTGCAGAGACACACAGAGAACAGCTGAACCAACGCTTCCCCACTCCCCATTTTTGTGTATAA